AATTCCTTACTTAGAATTTCTGGTTCGCAGACTTCATTTGGAAAAGTCGAAAATTTCCTCGATTCGGGATTCAAGATAAACCGGTGACTTGGGACACCAAAAACCAAACCTTTCCCAAGTGGCGACTCTGAATTAAATAAATAATCCCATTTCGAATATTGTCACTTAAATTGGAAAAACTCCACCACCCGCGCATCTTACCCTTCGGGGCGGGGCGCGCAAAAAGGAGGTGTGACAACTTTAATCCATAATTTTGGATAGTTGGGTGATCATATTAGTAATGAACTCAGCCAAAACTTATAATTTGGTAAACAAAACTTTTCCTTCATACTATTGCTATTTTTTGTAAAACTTAAATTTTGAGCAAAAATAAAATCTTACCTTGTTTTCGTAAATAAATATAATTATTAAAAAGATCATTAGAAATTCTAAGAAAAGTTAAATAATAATTTATTAAGCTCTAGAAATCAATATTTTTAATATCTTTAAATTTTCTAAAAACTCAGAAAATAATAAAGAAAAGCTAAGAGAAATTCAAGAAACATTTCATTTTGTATATCAACAATTGATTTCTGCAAACTTAGAAAAATTAATAATTGTATGAAAAATTACATATGTACTAGACGAAAAATCTAAAATTTTAAATGTCTATCTTTGCTTATATATTATTAAATTTTACATGTATTTAAAATGGTGTTATTTAATTAAAGTGTGTTACGTAGAAGATATTTATTAAAGTACATGTTTTAAGACAGATTTCAGTAGGAGTTATCCCTCAGGTTTAGTGCATTGAACAAAACAATGCCAAAGAAACCCCTATAAACAGGGCCAGTATTTCAGTAGGAAATCATACGATTTGCAAATATGTTATTGTTACAAGTCAATTTTCTCAGTAGAACTATTCTTCCTTCGCGCTTGAACTTCCTTAAATGCAACAAAACCAAAAATATTAGTGCAGGCAAACTTCCAGCTTCGAGATGAATGCTGGAAAGGAGAGATTTTGAGTTGCAAATCAAAATAAGCATCTTACGCCTCTGACAGGGCAAACATAGCAACCATAAGCAGCCTTCTCAAAATCTATTGAAGGCAAAGCGAGAGAGTTTTTATGATAAAAGTGACACAATTGCTTAAATTACTTTTTGAAGTTACATGCCTTCAAGCCTTCCAGGCGAAAAGAAGAATAACAATTAAATCAAGATGTATCGGGAACAAGTAAGAACGAAAAGATAGCAAATTACAAACAGCTAAATGAGAGAGAACTTGTTCTTCAACTCAATAGCTGAGTAGGTCTACATCTGTTGAGCTCGAGCTTAGCGTCATGTCCCAATCATCATCTCAGCTTACACTAAAACCCCGAATCTTCCCAGACAGATTAATAAGCTCCTGTAACCAGTTTTCCTGAATTCTGAACCAAAACGAGTTTTCAAACCTTTTTGAGACACTCCCAACCAAATACACTACATGAACGACAGTTTCTGCTACCAATCATAATTCCTCCTCCACCTATCGTGACTACTGTTGCCAAATCGAGATGCTGAAAACCTATGATGATGATATTTGCCCGACCCATAAGAAGCTGAATTATCAAAATCACCAGATGCTGAAAACCTATGGTGATGATATTTGCCTGACCCATAAGAAGCTGAAGAATCAAAGTCAAGCCTGTTGGACTTTCTAGATGAACGAGAACCAGAAGCATGACCACCACTACTGAAGTTAGAAATCTTAGCTCTCTTATTTCTAGGAGTTGAAGGAGATCTCCAATTATTGGGTTGAGGAAAGTCTTCCGGATCATCCGGGATCCAACCACCCTTTCGTTTCATCTGATAGCCTGACGTATATCCGCCTTCATTTTTTCCTTTCTTCTTCCATGCCCTACCAAAATCACGAGGTACAGACCTGAACTCATTTTGCTCTTGTCTTTTCTTGTGAACTTTCTTCTTGGGGGTTGATAATTCATGATTTCGCTTATTGACCTTTAGACACAGCAGTAAAACAATAAGGTTTCATTATGAAGATAAGATATAATATAGCAAAGGACAACTAACCTAAAAAGGAAAACGACACAGAAATGAAAAGGAAAAGAAAATCAGATTTCAAACATGAATACAGTAACTTACTCTACTGGAATTAGTGCATTCCCGTGCAAAATGTCCTCCTTCACCACACCTATAACAGGGATTAAGTGACCCAGTACCGCTAGTCTCCCCACGAGATGCCGTGCATGCCTGTATGGGAGATCATGTCAGATAAAACGCAAGCACAAAAATTAGTTCCTAAATAAGGAGAAGCAAAAAACACACATACAGAGACACGTATAACTACAAGAGCATTAACTTACCAAACCAGTATGGCCTAGTAGACCACATCTGTAACAGGAAAATTCTCTCGGACCACTATCAGGGTATTTTGCACAGCAAAGATGGCCAAAACTCTTACAGATGTAGCATTGTATTTCCTTCAAAGGCAACAGGAGAAATCTCTAGGTCAGAACAACACAACATAAATCTCTAGGTATCGAAGTGTCCTCAGTAACACACCTTTAGATCATCAGCATAATAGTTGTTCCTGCATGAAAACATATCATGGCCAGAATCCCCACATTTTAGACATATTTTAGTACTCTGGGATCCTCCATGGCTTCTCTCGGGGCAATCACTTGCACGATGACCTCCTTTTTTGCAGATGAAACAAGCTTTGCCCTGCCAAAGAAAGCAGAGTGCATAACTTACTCTATAACCAAAATGGGAAAAATAGGTGTTTTAAGATCCACAAGAAGTATCACAATGTCATGATCAAGGAAACACAAAATTTCAATTTGCACTCCCATGGATATTACCTTGTTAGCCTGTGTAACCTAAATCGTCTGAGACCCTATCACTGGCTACAGAAGACTTCAAATCATGCTATAATGGCTGATCCATGATTTTGCCAACTATCCAAAATCCTATCAAACTAAAAGCAAGAACAATTTTGCTTCCCTGATTGAACTGAAGACACTACAGTGGCATATCCATGATTAAACCATCAGTCAATCAGCTACTACTCAATCCCATACTACCTGGGGTCAGCTATACAGAATTTAAAATTCTGTAGTTCCTGGAGATCAAAGATCTAGATTGAATGGGATTTGAGGCTCGCACGGCTCTACCCTAAAACAAGGACTCCTCCAACACATTCCAATAATTAGGGAGACAGAAGGGAGATAGAGGGAAGGACAAAAGGGAAGAGAGATAAGGGTTTACATGCGATTATGATACTGCCCAAATATGTTACAGTGACAGGACAAAGCCGCACATACATGCGAATACCATTTTTTATGCATCATATACACAAACAACAAGCTCCTCACCTAAAAGAGGTTTTCCCATAAGACCCTGTAATGCAGTCTCTCATTCAATGCAAAAATATAAAGGATACACCAAGAATGCTGAAATCATAATTCTCAATTTTTTTTTTGCAAATTCCAGCCTACCATTGGAAGCAGAAATCCTGCGGGATGACAGGAAAGTTGCACCATAACACGCTTCTAATAGAATCTTTAATTTTTGGATTAGATGTCCATGTACATATTTAGACAGCTTACAACAACAACAACAACAACAAACCCAGTCCAATCCCACAAGTGGGGTCTGGGGAGGATAGTGTGTACGCAGACCTTAGTCCTTACCACAAATTTAGACAACATAATGTGCTATAATGGCAAAAGGTAGATAGTGCCGTCGAACCTTGTGAAAGAGGTATGAAAAACTCAGTTGCCTAATTGTCCACTTAGCTATGCCTAGCAAAGCTAGTTTGCAAGCCAAAACCTTGACCTCCAGGAAAAAATCCAGCAACATAATCACTGAGCTAAGATTCAATCATCATTATGATTTCAGAGATCCTTTCACAAATATTTTCTTCGTGACTTGTCCAAAACACAAATTCGGAATATGAGTGTCAAAAATACAACAATAATGTGTTAACAAGGTTGTTAAGACAGGTCCAAATCACGTAAAAGCATATATAAGAGGCACTCTAACCATGTGCTTAGATCATGAAACGCAGTTCAGGATGTTTGTCTTCTTTTTCCCCATCAGAACATAGGGTCCTAGGTCTTTGATTAGCACATGTTTTGAGGGATCTTCAGCTTGGCTTATTAGTGGAAGATCCCATGTGCATAACTTAACAGTCTGTTTGGTTCTCTATAAAAGATTTGTGGTTTATATGTGTGGAGGGAAACTTCCAAAATGCTCATTTACCTCAATGGTAATATAAGAATATACAAGTATGATAATCTCCCGTTGAGAAGACTAATAAGGTGGAACTAAGATAGCACGAGCAGTATGGAGTCACATATTCAAATAGAAGAGTAAGCAATTTTCTCCACTAACCTTTGTGCAATGTTTAGCATTATGTTCGAAACTCCCACAAACAAAACATGGCTTCTTACGTCTAGCTGAAGTACAGTTGACTGCAGCATGACCCTCTTCACCACAATTATAGCATGTTCCCCAACTCTTATCTGGAGCATCAAAGTACCTAGGGCCCCGCTGAGATCATGTAGCGAATAATAAAGATGTAGGACCAAACCAGGCCATTTTTGGATTACTGAAAAACAACACTGCAAATCATATTACTTTAACTCACAAGAAGCCTACGTAGAACAGCATTGTCAGGGACCTCAACAGGAGTCTTTTCAGCTGCACTATCATCAATATTCATAGCTATAGTAGTATCAGCATTTTGCTCTTCCTTTACTTTGTACTGCTAACACATTCAAGAAGAAGAAAATAGCAGTGTAAGAGATCACAAGCTGAATATTTAATCCATATTATGGTTTCTAAGACACAAGCAATACTTTCAATAACTTCCAACAACAACAGCCACAACCCAGTGTAATCCCACAAGTGGGGTACTTTCAATAACTTCCAAATTAATATAAAACAAACTACAGTTTAACCTTGCAAGTCAAAACAGAAAGGGACAGAAATATAAAGCAGAAATTAAAGTGGTAGTAATTAGTATTTATTCCACCAAGAGTAGGGGTGTCACGTTTAGATCATTAAAATGTAAACCACCTAACCTTGGGCAGCTTGGGATGGGAGTATATTCATGGTACGCCAATTTGGGCACAACCCAAATAAACCTATCTAACATTGCGATCAATTTCGGCCATACTGATTATTGACAAAAAGAGAACTCATCAAAACACAATGAAAAGAATGTTTTGAGGTTTTTCAAGTTTGATATAACACCATGATGAAGAAAAACAGTCTTTTTTTTAGTTTGGTTATTGTAATTAAACAAATTATAATAATCAAACAAGCAAATTTAGAAAGGTTCCGAGTATTGTTTCACCGAATTGACCCAACTCATCTCAATCCGAGCAAACTTTGGGTGAGTTATGAACCAACACGTTTATGAGTCAACCCAATTTAACCTGCCAAATTTAGTCTACCCCGTCCATTTGACGGTTTGGATAGAAAAGAATTTGTCTTGCCTTTTTAAATTTTTACTCATCTTTGCAAGTTGATGAGGTCGTGACAGGGTGTTCCTCCACATTTAAATGTAAGGTTTTTCCTATTAAACTAACTTTTCAGCTGTTACTTTAATGTTTCCTTCATTACCACCAAGATAACACACAAACTGACAATACAACAAACAAAAATCAAGCAGTAACAGCAAAAATCTAATCGCCAATTAACAGCAGGCAACTTCAGACTACCGGGAACATATCGCTGCAGAAGCTTTTGAAACCCTTGTCTATACCACTTGACACCTAAACATCAAAATTGAAAACGACACCCGATTAATCATCCAAAAAAGCATTTTATTTTATTAATAAGTACAATTTATTTCACTTCTAAATGCTGCAAAAAAAAAAAAAAAAAAACATGCTTCCCCCGGCGATTCTCGATCCAAATAAAGTACTTATATTTTTGTCCTTACAATTAATAGCAACATAAAAGATTAATCAATTTTCAACAAAATTCAAACTCACAGGATCCTCTTTGGTCACAATATTTTTGTCCTTCTTCTTCTTGCTATTTGTCAAAATGTCGGATTCTTCCTCGTCGGTGACACTAGAACATGCCCGTAACATAGCCTTCTCTACGATTTTCAAACTGAGATCATCGTTAGCGTCCGCATCTTCGTTTTCTTCTTTTTCCTCCTCGCTGCGCATCAAATCGGGTTGGGAATTTGATTCTTCTTCGTCTATGGCTTCAGATTTCTCCTTCTCCAGCTTACCCATTTGATTCGATAGCTCGTTTCTTCCAAACTGACGGAAATGAGCTCAGGGCGGAAGAGCCGACCAGATATAAACCCTAATCCCAAAAATCCTCAATTATCGACGGGTTGATGGGGCTTTTGACTTTATGATAGACCACCGGAATCCGGCTTGAGTTGGGATTACTACTATGATTATTCCTTTAAATGGGGAAAAAGAAACTAATAATTCCTTTTTTCTTTTTTTTTTTCTTCAACAAATTAATAATGACAAAGATCATTTTTAGTCCGCGGTATATAAAATTTATATATTTTATATATAACATACAGAAATATATATGCATATATATATATATATATATNATTAATGTGCGGATTGTAGGATTAGTCCGTACATATTTCTTTTCATTTATCATGTTTGCCTCGTTAAATATTTTTAAAAAGGTATATTGTACATAATATAAAAACTTAGAATTTTACCTTTGTTTGTGGAGTGAATAAAAATAGAAAGTTGAATTTATAGTTGTTTTTATTATGAAATATTATATTATGTAGTGAATATCTATAATTCCTAAAGAAATTACTTCCACTGCTTTTCTCAATTAACCTCCCACTACTTTTTACCATTATGATTGTAACTCTCACACCTCCATAACTTCCTCAACGATCTTCCCTCATGATCTTAATAGGTAATACCATATTCATGACATCCTTTTGCATTACCTCAATATCATCCTATAAATAGAGGGTTTGAATAACACATTTCACACACTTGGAAAACACATGAGCACATGAAATAAATAAGAATCTCTTCTCTTTTTTCCCTCTATAACTCTTGTCTATTTTATTGTTCGTATATTGTTTTGAGCTTAGATTCTTAACTCGCTATCAACACGATGCATGATTAAATTGGCATAGAAGATAGAACTGAAATTTCTATTAAAGAAGATAGAAGAGATGCATGGTTAAATTGGCATATTCGAAACTGGATTTAACTTGTTGCAGATACGTCCACGTGTTAATCAGTTTGCTTACTATGCATTCTGATTTTAAATTATTTTGAGATTTAAGGCTCGGTGTAATTTATATTTCCCGATAATATAATTATATTTTACAGGAACTGGTTAAGTCATGAACTTTCATATGTTAGCTTCGAAGCAAAGTATTCTTACCTTGGGCTATAGAAAATAAGATGGTTTCTGTCGAATAAGAAAATGGTGTTTAGGAAAGGAGATATATGGTCTCATGTTCTAAGTATAGAGACCGATAACTATTTTTTTTTATACATCATGTTGATTCTGGTATAGGTTGAAATTTGAATTCATAAACTGGTCACTTTCATGTTTTGAATTCAAAGTGCCCATTATGCTCTCACAATAAAGGATATAATAGGCATTAATTCACCGAGTTAAATATTTCTCAGTAACTGATTTCTTTAGAGCTAATGAAATTTGGGAAGGAAATTTCACTTGTCATAATGAAATATATTCATATGCCGCTCCTAGTGAATATCTAATTTTATTTCCTAATCTATATTATATTAAAAGGAGAGTAATTTGCAATGTGATTAAGCCAATTGGCAAGTTAAAATGAAGTCACTTGACAATTTTAAGACAAAAAAAAAAAAATTGGATTATAAATGGAAAATTATTTAATGAAAGTAGTAGTCCAAGATTTTCTGTAAAATGAATTTCATTCTTTAATAAATCAAAACCAATTATTTGAATATTCAAACTAAAAAAATTCTTTTTTTGAGAATCTGTTAGACGTACACAAGAGGGATGCAACTTTCATTATGCACACAAATATATTATAGCTATAGGTATTTTTACTTAAATTTGTGTATAATTCAGTTATGGCAGGTATCCCTTTTTGTGAAAGAATCAACTAAAATTTCGTTTTGTATTTTACACATTAATTTTAAGTTGAAATAATAATTTTATATTTAGTACAAGCTTTGTATCTGACCTTATTTGCGAACAATATACATTAATATAAGTATCATATACACCACTATAAGTATTTTTAATTAAATTTTGTGTATAATTTATTATTTTTTAAACTAAAAATGTTCTCTTTTTGAGAATATGTTGGACGTACACAAAAAGGGATGCAATTTTCATTAAGCAAGCAAACATATTATAGCTATAGGTATCTTTACTTAAATTTGTGCATAATTAAGTAATAGTAGGTATCCTTTTTTGAGAAAGAATCAATTAAAATTTTGTTTTGTATCTTACACATTAATTTTAAGTTGAAATAATAATTCTATATTTAGTACAAGCTTTATATCTGATCTTATTTGCGAACAATATACATTAATATAGGTATCATATACATCACTATAAATATTTTTAATTAAATTTTGTGTATAATTTTTTTTTTAAACTAAAAATGTTCTCTTTTTGAGAATATGTTGGACGTACACAATGAGGGATGCAATTTTCATTAAGCAAACAAATATGTTATAGCTATAGGTATTTTTACTTAAATTTGTGTATAATTCAGTTATGGTAGATATCCTTTTTTGAGAAAGAATCAATTAAAATTTCTTTTTTGTATCTTACACATTAATTATAAGTTAAAATAATAATTTTATATTAGTACAAGCTTTGTATCTGACCTTATTTGCGAACAATATACATTAATATATGTATCATATATATTATTATAGGTATATTTAATTAAATTTTGTGTATAATTCAGTTATGGTAGGTATTCTTTTCTAAGAAAGAAATAATTAAATAAACCTTTTTTATTTATTAGTTTTGGTATCTTTATTAAATATGGTGTATAATTCAATTATGGTAGGTATCATTTTTTGAAAAAGAATCAATTAAAATCTCGTTTTGTATCTTACGCATTAACTTTAAGTTGAAATAATAATTCTATATTTAGTATAAGCTTTGTATCTGACCCTATTTGCGAACAATATACATTGTTATAGGTATCTTTAATTATATTTTGTGTATAATTCAGTTATGGTAGATATTCTTTTTTAAGAATGAAATAATTAAATAAACATTTTGTATCTTACATTTATGTTATATTAAAGGAAATAGTATTAAAGAAACGAACAAGAGGACAAAGGAAAAAAGACAAGAAAAATTAAGGTTTGGTGGTTAACAAATTTTAGTTAACCACAAAAAAAAAATGTTGAAAATTAAAAAAATGCCAAAAGCTAAAAAATGAAATATTCGTATAATTTTTTCAGAACTCACACATACAAATTGATTTACACATGCCTTTTTTAAATATTAGGATTTCATATACATAAAAATTGGTTTACTATGATAGTCTTTCCTTAGAAATCTTTATTTAAGCAACTTTTTTTAGGGTTGGCTTCTCTACATTGCTTAGGATTTAGCTTCCACACAAACTTTTGCAAAGTTTGGCTCCAAACTATAACTATATCAGCGAAATATCAATGCCCAAAATGAGTTGGAATTTGAAGGTTCGTGTTATTCGTTTATGGCACATTCCAGACCGCGAGAAACCAGAAAATTCTAATTCAATTGAATTAATTATTCAAGATGAAAAGGTGCATACTCTTTTACATGTTGTTATTTTTTTTGAGTTGTGATGTATTTTCTTTAACTTATGCGCCTTACTAACTTAAATTTCTTTTCACATTTTTTATTTTAGGGAGATCGAATTCATGCAACTATTGGAAGAGCTGTTATGCTTATTTTCAAAACAAAAATACATGAAATGGGATTGTACGTTATGAAAAACTTTGTGGTTGGACCAAACAATCTGAAAATTAAGACCATAAAGCATATATTGAAACTGAAAATTATGGGGGTTCCATCAATGTTTTATATTGGGAACAGATTGAGTTCCCAGTTGGTATTCTATTGTTTATATCCATATGAAATATATTATTATTGTTTAAGTTCTCACCTCAACATAATCAACCCTTCCACCGGCTTCATCTATGGTTTGAATAGCTAAATTTATTAGCTCTCCGCAGTTGACCTGTCCCTTTTCTGCCTCAACTTTGGCTTTAGACGGTGTTAGGTTAATAGACAAAGCCTGTGGAATGGTAGAAAGAGTAAAAAGTTTCAATTACCACAAATGCCAGATATTAATAAAGAGAGAGCCTTAGCAGGAAATCAGTTTTTGCATATGCATTGCCGCATACATTTTGATTCTGAATAAGTTAATGTTTGACATACTTCATGTTCCTTCATCATTGACTCAATACAGAGGATAACTTTTGAAAAATGCACTGCAATATATCATGAGCAGTTGCTACAAAAATATTCCCTTAAGCACATGTTTCATATTAAGCAAATTGTATAGCATATCATTATTTTTCGTGGAACATTCATATCAAATAAATTGTATAGTATCATTATTGTTTAAAGAACATTTACTAGGAGATGGAATGAAAGATTTACCGGAGTCTTAAAATATTTTTAATGTTTGGTTGTAAAGATGGTATTAACACTAACATATTAAATTTTATGGTGTAGATCATTCTTTTTGATTATCCGTATATCGCGCGGGTACTAATACTAGTAGTAATTAATGTGGCTTGTAAATCATTACGGTATGTATTGGGTGAATTATCATCATATAACGACTAGATAATTTTAATCTAAAACACTAGTCTTTGGTTATCTTGGTGGATAATTATTTAATTTATTTATCCTAATTCTGATCGGGAAAAGCACCAGGCAAGAGTTATTTTTCTTAATTTTTCTTCATAAAAGATTAATAGTGAAATTTTATAACATTCTATTTAGTACAAAGGCCTTTCTAGATAGCCATGCTTCTAGCACATTTCAATTCATGATTGTGATCAATTTGTCTAAGATTGTACTGTCTCCTTTATATTTAACCATGTCATATATTATTGTTGATGGAAATGATCCATGCGAACTCCAAGTAAAGTTACGGGAAAAAAAAATTAAATGATCACTATGAAGTGGTAATATTTGTAAGGCTCGAGAGTAAGTCCCAACACACAATGGGGTAAGACATCGACTTTGAGTCATGGTGCTCCGTGATTGTCACGACCCAAAACTCAATCTGTCGTGATGGCATCATCATGGTACTAGGCAGGCCGACAACTCAGACATTTCCAACACTTTCAAATTTAAAATATAGTAAAACAGGTTTAAATAAGAAAAATCTCAGAAAAGCTGATAAAAACCGTCACAACTCAATACATAAGTTT